CGTACGGCAGCATCTTGAGCCGCGCGCGGATAGAAGTAATCGATATTTAGCGGGTCGATAATTCGCAAGGCAAGGCCATGCTACGACCCTTCTACATTATTGATGCTTGATGGACGGCTTTTGTGGAATAGAGTGTCTCGCTGTTTGCGGGTCACCAAGCCTTGGCGTGCCGACGGTGTCACGATAGTTTTCTCGCTGCTCGCACTCTCCGCCTCCCTCGCCATCGTCCAGGCATGTTGACACGCGCCTGTGTAATGAATGCACCCGATCGCAAGATAAGCCAGCATTTTTCATGTTGACCGAGAGACACGCCGGGATGTGCGCAAGGAAAAGCGAATATTGCACTTTCCTTCTTCATCAAAAGCAACACATCGGATGAACTTATCTTCCTTCGACAATCTGTTTGCATTTCTGTTTGAGTTTTTCACTTTTTTTCAGTCTTTTGACGATAAGTAAGTTTATTTGAAACGCATATACTTGTAGATCAACATTTGAAAACAGTTTTATAGAATCTTGCTACGTTTTCGTATTGCATAATTTTTACAAAATATTAAGTTTGTAAATTCCTTTTGACTTTATGCAAAAAAAAACTAAAAAAACTGATGTCACGAACTGATAAAACAGTAAAAGTATAGAAATGTTAGGAATTTCAGAAATTCCTTTACCGACGTTGTCCTACAGTTTATATCACATTTAAATGTATGGCGAAAGAACGAAGCATGCAATAAAAGATCGCTGAATTTTCAAAGCCAGGAGCGAGATTTGAGGATAGGTGAATTTCGACATGTGCGCGCAATGTATATCTCTTTTTATGCGCCATCGGGATAGCGCGGAGAAATAAATTCTTTACGTATAATATATTGGAATTTTGCTGGTTTATTGAATCGCGAGTCGCGTCTCTCTCCAATCGGCACAGTCGTCGCAGTTCAACACGTTGATCGATACAGCCCCTTCGTCTCTTTATTGCATTTACAACGACAAACATGTCGTGTGTATATAGCGATAGACAATGACACTTAAGTGGCGGCTGAGCGCTTCGTGCCAACAAACATCGACGCGTTAAACATCCGGGACGATAAAGCGTTGCTAAATATTTTTAATTCTATTTTCCATTAAATTGACGCGACAATTTTTTACTTTTCCGCTAAATAAAATTACTAAATTAAATCCTTTTTTAAGGAGCAAATTACAAAACTTCTTTCTGGATGGAGGAAGTGTTACTAAAGTTTAATAGCAACTACTTTTTTCAATTAAAGTTGTTTCTTTCAAGAAGTGCTGTGTACTCTTTTTTTTATGTTCGTGATATTTTATCTGACAAATACGACAAAATAATTAAAAAACAAAATTAAAATAAAAATGTTTCACAACTCGAAAAAAAGTTGTTACTCACAAAACAAGTACGATCGATTTTTTACTGTTAAGCCGCGAAAGGAAATATCGTCCTTATTGCCAACCTCGTTTTAAGTAAGAAGTAATCTTCGCTCCCGGTAAAGTTTGATTGAATATTCTCTCGGTTTAACAATAATCAACGACGGAGCCTCGAAGCGAATCCACAACCCTTTTCACAGCGGAACTCATTTTCGCGACTAAATTATTGAGAAATGGAACCATGACTGCACGGGATCACGGCAATTAATGACATTCGTCGATTTCGCATCGGTCGAAACAGCACTCCACGTCCACTGCAATGCGGAATTCGTAGGTTTCGTGCGCGGAAGATTGCAAGCAAAAGTTGTTCGTTACCGCGAGTGAGCACACAAAGCGAGAAAACTCATTTATTAGTGCTCACCGTCAAGCTTCCACAGTTACTACCACATTCACTTGAGTTTATAGCTTTCCATTAGATATTTTCATCTTCTAGTGTATCATGTTATGGTCATAAAAAAAAACAATAAACGATTCGAAATATTTTCGCAACGACGAAATTCACCACGATAGACTGTCATCTTTTCAATTTTTCCAAACGACTCGCTATTGTCAGAAATAATATTTTTTTCCCACTCGAAATGCATCGGAAACGAACTAGTACATACATCACAATATTTTTGCTGCTCTAATTGGAACTTGTTCTTTTCTATGGAAATTTCATTATTTTTTGGTCAGAAAAAAAATATATTGGTGGGACGACGGCATGTGAAGAAATATGAACGTACAAGATGATTCATTTGAATAATATACGACTCATTCTCGTACAAGTTTCGTGTTCTACCTGGTGTGTGGTATTATAAAAGCAAAAGAAAATCAATATTAGTCATTAAACTCCCCTTCCGCGTCGCGTGTCCTTCGGGGTAGCTCGTCACCGATCTCGTTTCTTCCTCATCTTTTATGTCATCGAACAGTTTCCGTGATCATAAATCTATGTTACTTTCCTAACTGCTGTTCGACATCACACGAAAGCCTTTTTGCAAGAAAATAACAATAAATTCTCCCCGCGTTTTGCGCAGCTTACGAGCTGCAAATGACGTAATTTGTAATTTACCGTAATTCAGACAGAATACAAAGAAATACCACGCAACAACTCGTATGTATTCATTTCTATGCTATAAAAGCATAAAGGCAAAAAGACGTAAAAAAATAACAGAGATAGAGAGAGAATAAATCCCTGCTTGGGACGCGTGGTCAGTGAATTATTGAGGGCCATGTGCGTTTCGTGCTCATGTAAGATACATTTCGGCTACGATATATCTTGCAGATCGGAAATGTTGCGAAGGGATAGCACACAAAAAATTGTATAGGTGAAAAAGCACTTTCGTTTTGCGTTCAATAATACGTGAATGTTTGACAACAAGAACACAGTAAAGAAAATTTTGCATTTTTTGAGATAATTGTTTCTTGAGCTGTTCAGTTTCTCGGAGTAAAATTTGTCATTAAAAAATCAACAAATATATTGCCTATGCACATAATTCATGTAATTACTTTTATGAATTATATTTCCTACATATAATTCTGTGTTATCACAACTACAGATACATATTTAAATAATAAACAAAATTGCACTCACCAGCTTTATTCAGTCACTTCCGCTTTGAATTACCTTCAGCTCCATCGAAGAAATGATGGATGCTGAAAAACCGCACTTAGTTACGCACTACCAAAGTGAGTAACTCGACGCTTATTTCACTTCCGAAAATTGCGGATTTGCGTCGTACGTAATTTTTTTATCTCATAGTAAGTACACGAAACGTGAACGCGAGATGAAGCACATTTTATGAGCCACAACTAACTACGAGTTATAAAATGAGAAATAGCTAAAATTGCTAGAGTAATTTTATAACAAAAATGCAATAAAAAAGATTTTGAATCAACAGAAATGTATTTCGCGAAGCAAAAAAATCCTGGAATTTTACGATGCTTGTTGCAAGAAAAAAGAAACCGGAAAAACACGTCATAATGGCGAGTCAATTATATCAATTGCTGTGTAAACAATTGTATCAATAACCCACCACCATTTGTCGTACCCCAACGAACTGCAAATCATTCGAAACCGTACTTTGACAATTACAGAAAATATTTAATAATCCAACCTATTAATATTAAATCGAGAACATATTCAAACATATTGAAATTATATTAAATAAAACTGAAAATTTCACATATTTATATATAAAATTTTCTTTCCTATATACAAGTTCGTATAATTTATATTTTCAAATTTTTGTAATTATTTCAAAATTAGTAAGTTACATACGCGATTTGTGCAAAATTAATTTTGCGTTTTGAAAATTTTCAGTGCTGCAATAAAAATCAATTTTGTAATTTAGTATTCCTTTGCTAAAAGGTAGACTGCAGACGAGAATTGTCAAAGCGCGGTCCCTAGCAGTTACATGGAATAAATTCACTCACCGGTAGTTGTACCCTAGCTAAGTACGCCCTCCAGCTGTACCTGGAGAAATTAACATATATTTCAATTATTATAAATTATCATACATTTTATATATGTTAATTATTATGTAATTTAATTCTTTCCATTTTGATTGGAATTTAACCGCATCTATTAAATTAATAATAATTTGAACATTTTAATAAACATTTAATAGTTATTTCAATAAATAATTATATACGTGTGTATTTTTATCACAATTATGTATCTATTTCAATAATTAACAAGTGACTGTACTCACCAGCTAAAGTATTGAAGTGCGCTCCATCCGCCGCAGATTTCGTTTTAGACACCACATTCCAGCTCCATCAAAAAATCGATATGATTATCGCAAATCCACATCTGTTATTGAGCACGCTACCAGACGAAAATCAACCCGCACACTGCACTATCACTTTTAATCACGTCGTAAATTTGCCACGCTGCGGTACATGAAACGCAAATGCGACATGAAACGCACTTTGTGTTGCAATACGTCAACGTATAATTAATTATTATTACCTTACACATTCGGTTACTCGATAATTGGTTATTATGACTTTATACATTCGCACACATATTCAGAGCGAGTGAAACAAATGCACACACATGTTTTATTCGATTTAATTCCGACGAGCAGAACTTTCCAAATGCTACATCTAATATGAAGTCGCGCTCAATATTGTCGATCAAATATAAGGATCATTTGCGGATGTAAATATCGGAGTCAATACTCAATAGACTTGCACCGAATTCGCATTTTGGTTAGGATTGCGCACTACCTTCGACAAAACACCGTTAATCACGACCACCTGCGGCAACAGTAATACGTTCCCGATAATCGTCCATCATTTTAATCGGCACTCCCGACAAAAACTCGCAATTGTTGTGCACTTTTAACGGGTAAAATACGCGATTGATCGCGGAGCTTTCGCATTTTGCGTTTTTGTGTTAATAGCAACATCACAACTGTCATGGCGGCCAGAAAATAGCGCGCATCACTGGCGTACGTTGTGTCAAACATATCGATAATCGATGTAGATCTACTATCTAATATCCTAATAGGATAAAGCAGATCGATAATGATCATTGATATTTTTAACACTAGGCGCGCCACCCTTTAGTCGCTATATTTCTATGACGTTGCAATAATACACAAAGCGCAAAGGTTCCGTGATTAATCACATATTTTAGAAACGCGTAACGAGTGCAAATGTTTATCGGGTGTGCCGATTAAAGTGACGGGCGATTGCCGGTATTCTCGATTAACTGCCCAGACACACGCACGTCTTCAAGCTATTTGAAGACGTCTAAAAAACGTTATCAGAAAAATGACATCTTTCACCGTGAATTCGCGCAGCTTGAGTAAGTACACACGGTCACAGGAATGTCTTAACACATGAATTTGTCAGCGAGTGTCAAGGCACATTCTAATTGGCGTGTGAAATTCACACTCGTGCAAGTTCATGTGTTAGGGCACTCCTGTAATCGTATACATATTCCGACGCTATAGGCATGAATACGCGATATATTTTTTATTAGATGTAGTATGTCAAAACTCTTTTCCATCGGAACTGAGTCGAGCAAAACATAGTGGCGTTGTGTGTGCATATCTATGCCTGACGACGTCCGCGTGACATCCGTCAGGATATTCGTTCGTCTCGCTTGCTTCGAACGCATGTACAATGTCCAGTAACCGCCGAATGTGTCGGTGACAATTCTCAATGAGCATGAACTCATTACAGAACAAAGTGCGTTTTGTATCGCGTTTCGTATACCGCGGCGTGGCAAATCCGCGATGTGAATCCGTGAAAAGTGACCGGTGTGCGGGTTGATTTTTCTTCGGGAGTGTGCATGACTAACAATGCAGATTTCCAGTAGTCATTGATTCTTCGATGAAGCCGATGCGGACAGTCCAAGGAGAAATTTGCGGTGGATGGCATACTTCAATACCCTATCTGGTGAGGTTATTTGATCACTAATTAAATATATAAGGACAATGTGATAATATACGCATATACAATTACAATTATTTATTAAAATTATTAAATTATTTCCACGTAATTTATTTTATGTGATATATTAATAAAAATGGAAATAACGAATATTTATCAATGCATATAAAATGTATGATAATTTATAACAGCTGAAATATATATTATTTCTTTTTCAGATATAGCTTGAGAGCGTATTTAGTTGGGGTACAACGACCGGTGAGTGAATTTATTCGTTATTCATACACAAAATATTGATATCGCTTACAATCTTTTTATTCGAAAACTTTACAATTGCTATAGACCTCGCTTTAATAATACACGGCTTTTGCAATTTGTATTTTTACAAATAAATAATAAAATTATTTTCTCTCCATTTTATCAATAAACTTGGAATTTTCGAATTTTGCACAAATTATATATGCAATTTAATACTTTTAAATTATAAAATTACAAAATGTTGGAAATTAATGTATAATGTCGAATCAATTGCACATAAATAATAACCTATCTGATGAAGATAATTATTTATTCATTATTAAAACATGTATAAAGTTGTGATAACACTGCACTGTGCATTATATAGTATAACACAATTACATAATATTCTTAAAACAATCTCCAGCAAATGCTGGAAGCTTTTTACAATCATTATAAAATATTTTGCAAGTATAATCTTAAAGTTTACAACATAATGCTAAGGGCATAAAATGCTCCTATGAAAAGTTATTAGTGGCATAAACTTTGTCATTGTATTGCTTCAATATTGAAGAGATTATTTTCATTATACGGAATTTTCATGTAAGATGCTCTGAAATGCTATTATGTCATGAATTATTAAATTGAATTGGTGGATTCTTATGTAATCTGTCTTCAGGCTGTTAAGATTCGTGTCTTATTACTACCTAAGCGCTTATGTGCACGTAAAGGAATCGTTCCGAAAATCCGTAACATATCTCTTAATTTTGCATCATAAAATTGCATTGTTAAATGCAACAAGCGCGACGTAGTATTGCATATACGTATGCAGAAAATAATTCTACTTTTCTCACAAAGTTGTCTCCCCTTCACTGCGCTCCATTGGCAATACGTGTTGCAGGTATAACGTAGACTCTGTTACATCAATAATTGAGTTGCTATGGAGTTCGTGTAACGCTTTATTTTCAAAGTGCGTTTAAATGGAAACTTCCACTTGAGGATTTATCATTTATATTATTCTATTATGATCGACATGCAGAGTGATTCATAATAAGTTGAAACATTTTTGACATTTTGAGAGGATTACCTCTTAATAAAGTGAAATTTATATAAATATAAATTTTATTCTAAATTAGTCTAAATATATGCAAGAGAAGATCAGAGTTCAAACTTTCATTGATATTTCAATACATCTCTCAGTTCAATATCACCTCCGCTTTGTGCAAATGAAAGAAAATATTTGAAATCAGAATAAAATACATTATTTCTTACAATATATCGTCGAAATATATTCTTCGAATATAAATATAACATTAATGAAACAGTGCATTATGTGTACTAAATATTATATTATAAAAATTCTATTTACCGATATAGTACAAATACACTGTGTTATTTTAATATTGTAAATTAACGGCTTTGGATGTTCCACAACATAATAATTTGAGGAATTTAAATTTGGAAATTTTTGAGATAATGCAACAATTATTCAACGAAACATCCGCATCGATATTAAACGTGAATTTCAGCTCTAGAGAAATATGTTGAGAATGTAAGAGGCAAATA